AGCCATTTTTGTTGATCGCTATGCTTCATCTCGTTTGATCACGTTTTTTTCGTGAACGCTAGCGTCATGGTTCTTCTTGCGAAAGATATTTAGATTTTTCCTTCTTGTTTGATCAAGTTTTTTTCATGGATGTTAGCGTCATGGTTTTTCGCGGAAGCTTTTTTTTTAATGGAATTTAGTAAAATCCTTTAGCAAAAATGCGAAAATGCTTTGTTGAATTTTAGCATTTTTGAGGGGTCTTTTCGCATTTTGCGAAAAAAGCTACCGTAGCGGAAACCCTGATACCCACACGTGTCCTATGACGTAAGTGCCCGCTGATCATTTATAAGCAAAATGGCGTGTTAAAGTTGAGCAAGTTTCTCCACATTAGTTCGAATGTTGATTAACGCGAAGTTAATTGAATACAGCGTCATATCGCACATCGAATTTATTGAAATATAAATCTTTCTCATTTATGTCTCTTACTTAACTTAGATTTATTATTTGTTTATAAACTTTATTGTAGCTGTGATATATTTTTGTTTTGTGCACCTGGCAACTTCGATGCATAATTAACTTGTTTACGGTCTACGTGGCTTCGTGCCTGTCTTTGCGTTAAGAAATATATCGTGAAAGAATTGAAATCTTTAAATAAGAATATAGAATGCTTCACTAAAGAGAATCGATACTTGATGGATTTGGCTTACTCGGAATGGAAATAGAACAGTTGATAGCGTAAACAAATGCCAAGTTTCAACAACCAATCAGGATCGAGATACCCATACTGCGACACTTGCAGGTATCCCATTGAATATCATTATTAATCTCTGCTATAACCTATAGTAACTAAGTCAATTGACGATTATGTTTTAGTTCTGACGACTATTCGTAACTAAATACTGACGATTACTTTTGAATTCTGATTAATACAAACTGTAATTTTAAAGTAAAAGCTAACTTTTATTTAATCAAGCTATCAACTAAATTTGTTTACATTGCATTTTGCATCATTCTATAAACCATTCTTGTAGAATATTTCGTTTCAAATATCATTTTCAAATTTAAACCAGTTTCGGAAAGTGCACTGATTCATTTCCGTTGAAATTTAAATATGTAATTAAAAAATATATAAATAAGAAAATAAGACTAAACAAACTGAAAAAAATTCCTACTGACACCAATATTTTTGACTAGCTTTTATTTATCCAACGAACAACCATGACATAAATCGTCTGGAGGCACCCTGAGGATAAGAAAAATACACCTGTGAGCAACCATGATGAAAGAAAGTGGGGGTTGAAAAGCAAGCTGTTACCCCTCTTCTTTCGCTCAAAAAGGTGTATAAAGGGTCAAACGAAATGGCCATAATCCACGACTAGCTCGCTCCATCATAAAAGCTGGTCTCCGGGTTCACAAAACTTTCTTTAAGTAATTACGCAAGCTTTCGAGTTCGTATCCACCCAAGAAAACCTTTTATGATAAAAGCGCAAACGATTACGTTGCTCGTCCCCCCCCATGGGGCCGAAACTGCAAGGTCCCATCATAAGATGAGAGGGGTGGGGGAATGGAAAATGGGGGGAATTTAAGCTTTTGGTTGCGTTTAGCTGTAGAGAATACTGTGAGACCAACAAAGTATTTCACTACTAAAACTTTTACGAACAAAACAGCAAGGTCACCCATATATAAATGTTCCTGCAGCTTTCATTTAGCGACTAAATTACAGACATGCAGTCGGACTTCTATTTAACGAACTTCCATTTTGCGAATTTCTCTATTTTGCGATTTTTTTTTTCGACGAACCAAGAACATTTTGGAAATTTCTTCTTAAAATAACTTCCAAATTGCGAAGTGAATTTTCTATTTAACGAACTTTTCTTTGAGATCCACTTTCCCTATTTCCCAAAATATTTCAGAACATTTCACGCATGCTAACGCATTTTATGGGTGAAATGACCATGAATTGATTTTCGAAGCCACTTTAACTTTTAGAGAAAGCGGTAAAATTCCTTTCCGTTTGCATTTCAAACGAAAAGCTCAGACAGAACGGATTTTATCAGTAACAATTAAACTTAAGAACGCATGTGGCAATGTATGTTTAAAATTACTTTTATGCAGCTATAATTTCATACATAAATTTAGCTTTTTTTTTTAATTGAAAATGTACGTAGCATGATAGTGTAACACTGGTTAATGTTTTGCTCTATTCTTGCTTTCCATGCAAATTTCTTTTATGGTTAAGATTTATAAAATAAATAGTAGATACTAGTTTACAAGATAAAGGTGAATCAATTGCTATTTTAATTACTTCTAGTGTTTATGAATTTAAAACCTGTTTTATGTTGTTTAAGTATTTCAAAAGGTGATTTTCCATTGAACGAATTTTCCATATAACGAACTTTTTATCAGGATTTAGCGACTTCGTTAAATAGAGGTCAGACTGTATTTGTCCGACCAAGTAATATTTAAATGACGTAGAGGCAAATTAAAGAGCAAAATAAAGGATGATGAGTTTTGACAGTCCAATCTACGATTTTTTTTTTTTTAATAAAAAAGCTTATATTAGTTATTTTTCTTAAGTTTAATTTCTTAATAAAAGCCAAAAATGAAAAAAAAAAATTAAAAAAAAGACTCTCTATCAAAATTAAAACGGAATAATGCAATTTTTTTTTTTTTTTTTTTAATGCTGGGAAGTAGAGATGAGACGGGATCAAGCTGAGCCCGACGCTGGCTCGCAGAAAAGGTTTTAAGCTCGGGCAGACTCAGTTTTATAAAATTTTCATAAACTTTTTCACTACTTTTAAAAAAACGTTCGATTCAGTTAGAGTACAAAAAATTTAAAATGTATACAGATTCTCAGCGATCTGCTACTTGTGTTCGGTGCTTTTGTTATGAGTGGCAAGGCGCTAACCGTCACTGCGCTAATTGTTTTATTTTTTAATTTTTGTTTTAGTCCTCTTGAATTTCAGATGGTTCAGATTTTGTCTGCTTTTTCTTTCACGGGTTAGCAATAGAAAAGGTTTTAATTTACTAATTCCCTTGTTGATACAGTGACAAGACTGCATAATTTGTGGCCTTTAAGCCGACGTATATCTCGGGCTAGGGCTTGGATCAAAATTTTTCCGGGTTGGACCTCCAAAAGCGAGTCAGCATCTCTACCACAGAGGAGTGGACAGCGAACAATTTCTCATGATTGGATTTAAAGAGCTGCATTTATTACCAGAAACTACTGACGGTGCAACATACCTATTTTTTTTCTTAAATTCAATTTATTGAAATGAGTTAGCTCTGTTCAAGGAGAGACGCACAAATGCCAATTAGAGACGCAACCATGCAGCAGCCATAGTCATCATGATTTGGATCTACAGCTTTCAACATTAATTTGCATCTAAGAACTTAGCAGCTTTTTAAACTACCGTTTAACTGCGACATTTTATTAACGATTCACTGAAAGATTCTTCGTCTACACGTTAATAGAATATTTTAGATGCAGCTTTTAAATGTTAGTTCAAATTTACTTTCACTAAAAAAGAATGCTGACCAAACGAAATTTGAATAAATAAGAGCTTACCTGGCATGCAAACACAGCGAAATCCTCCTCGCTCATCCAAACAAGTGCCTTCATTCTGACAAGGATTCGAGTCGCATTCATTGATGTTGATTTCACATCTGGGACCTGTAAATCCTTTGGTACAATTGCAACTAAAAGAACCCGGAATATTGACGCATTTGCCGCCATGTTCGCATGGATATCCTAAAGAGGAAACAAGAAAAAAAAAGCTCAGAATAAAAATCCTTTCAAATGGATTCTACGTGGTACGCACATTGCTGCAAATCACTTACCTTCGTCACATTCATCAACGTCTTCCGTGCAATCTGTTCCCTTGAATCCATTAGGGCAAGAACAAATATAAGTACCATCAATCGGACTGGTATCGCACATTGCTCCTGCATGGCAAGGATTGCTGGCACAAGCATCATCCAAGTGGCATAGAAGACCTAAGAGTTGCATTTGATAAATCAAGTAAATCTCAATTTCAGGCATTGTCTAACGACTAAATACTTTTTCTTACATTAACATTACTAAATACTGACATCTTCTTGGAAACAAGATATTATATACCAACGTTAATATGTTTCAATTCATAGTATCAACCCTCAAGAAAAAAAATTTAACAGTTATCAATTTGAACAGCACAAAATTTAAGAAACACATTGTTTTACAATAGTTTTTTTATATTTTTAAAAAAAAAAAAAACTAAATAAACGTCAAATAACCGATAACAACCGATCAAAAATAAAATGTAGGAACCATACGGTTTTGAGATCTACTTTACAATAAACAATGTAGCGATTATGCATTCATTATTTCATCTGCATATTTACGTAAGAAAGCTACAAAGCGAGACATAACTAAAGTCAGGGTCTTTAAAAACATAAATATGATACGCACCTGTTTTACCGGGAGCGCATTGGCAATAAAAGGAGCCTACTCTGTCATGGCAAGTGGCACCGTTGAAGCAAGCAGCAACGGCACAGTCATCGATGTTTTCAGAACAATCATGTCCAGTCCAGCCATTAACACAAATACAAGTATAGCCACCAACGGTATTTGTGCAAGTAGCCCCGTTCTTACAGACACTAGGTCGTACAGCGCACTCGTCCACATCTTTTGCGCAATATGCTCCTGCAACACAAAGATAAAAAAGTTTAATTCTAAGAGCCTTCGAAGCAATATCTAGAAACATATATGAATCGTAGGGCATCTATTTCCATACCTGTATATGCAGGTGGACAATGGCAAGTGTAAGAATTAACACCGTCAATACAGGTTGCACCATTTTGGCAAAGATTTCCAGGACAATCATCGATGTTAACTTCGCAGTTTGGTCCAGTAAAGCCTAAAAAGATGTTGATAAGCAATTCATGTATTTATAAAGATATAAGTTTTATAAAAAATGGAAATCAAATCAAGACACTAGTTTGTATCGAGTAGTTAATTCTCTTATTTTTAAGAGGAATAAAATAATGAGTCTCTCCAAAAGCTAGCGGCGATTTCAAAATTCTAATGAAGGAAAAAAGGGAAGGAGAGAGAAAAAGGTAAGTTGCAAAATTTTGCTCTTGCCAAGATTTTGCTTAAGATACCAGGCATTTATTTTCCTAAAATTACTAAAATTAGTTATAAAATTACCATAAGATAAAGTGAAAAAACAATGCTTTCCATTGCCCATCAGACCATTATAACTAAAATATATTTGAGCTCGCTTAATTTTATTTTGTAATTAGATGCAGTTTATATTGGGATGTCCTGCGTAACGTTAACGTAAATAATGCATTTGAGAAAACGGTGTTTAATAGTTCTTTTTTTTTTAATATTTTTAGGTTAAAGGCGCTATTTGTTAACAGAATTAGTGACTAATTGAAAAATTTAGTAGGAATGAATTATCTTCTGCGATTATCTTATCATCTAAGAAGAACGGAGAAAATTTTACATTTCTATTGCCTCCTGTTTTTCGTAAATTGATTTTGTCGATAATTTTAAGACGTTTTCAATGCATGTTAACTTTTTATGGCCCTAAACTATAATAATTTCAATTATAAAAAGAAAAACTTTTTTTAAAAAAATACAAAATAATCAAAGACGTCTTCAAACTTTGTATCAATCATTTAATGTATACCTCGCTCTTTGCAAATTATTATAAAATAATTAAAATCCCACGTGAATTATAATTCTTAGAAGAACCAAGAAGCGATCTGAGCAAAACAAACAACTTAAGTTAAGAGAAAATACTTCAAAAATGTGAACATAAACACGCTCTTCGTTTTCATGAAGTAAAACAAAGGTATAAGTTTTTATTGTAAGCTGAAACAATTTTTTTTTTCTTTTTAAATTTCAAAACAATGCTCAATCGAAAACCTTCTTTTAAACTTTGCACAGTTCACACAAAATAATGAAAGAGGTTAATATTTAAGTTTCTTTCTTGATGGCACTTTTTTTCCCCAGGTTAAACTTTAAAATTGGATTTAGATGGATAAAAACGGCATTTATCCTTTTTTGAAAAACGTCGATGATGTTTACATAATTTTAAAATTACAACTCCTTCATAGACGTTCTTCTTTATTTTTCAACACAAAAACAATATCCTATTTTTACATATTTACAAAATCATGTTCCTCACAAAAATGACACTAATTCTACGGTTGTTTCAAATTTAGAAAATTATCAGTAAATTTTTCACATATTCACTAAAACAAGACATTACACAAAAAGTCTGGACAGAGCACCAATTTTAATAATTTTTCACTAAACCATAAAAAATAGGACCTTATTTTCACAAATTCACAAAATGATGTGCAGGTTTTTAACAATTTTGCAAAAACAGGACCTTTCAGAAAAAGTCTGGAATAGCTTCCTGCAATTATTTCTACCTTCCAAAAATTTGATGAATATAAGCTAATTAGCTATGAATAATCACGTTGCAAATTAATGTAGCTATTCAGAAAAAGTTGTCTTATTTCGCGTCCAAGGAAAGAACATACAACTCAAAATGTTGGCAGTAAGTAAGTATGTTTTAAAATTCATCGCGAAGATTTAGATTTTACTTGAATTGGAACTGAAAACTAATTACAAGCAGAAAATGTATGGAATTTTAAGCCCTTAAAATTTAAATAAAACGATTAACAAAGATAAAATGTCTTACTTTAATTGAAAAATTAAGAAGACTAAGGCATTCATTTTAATTTTTTCAATTGAGTCAAAAACAATTTTAAAAAAATTAAATCGAAATTCAATTCGAAATACTATAGATCATCTCATATAATAGCAAAACTTCGATACAAAAGGAGACTAACTTTAGTTATTGTTAGATTCAAAAATTTAAAGAGGAAGGGATACATCTTAAAATGTTCCAACCCAGTCTCGATGAGAACATAATATACGGCGTTAACAGCAAAAACAGATTCGAACAAAAACAAAAACGTCTGAGTGTCTTATATTCTTCTGGGTGGAGAAAATTTATGCAATTTCCTAAAGGAATTATAAAAGGTGAGGGCGTTAGATGATATCGCTCACAGCGGGTTTTCCACGTGTTTCTATTCTTTATGTTCCATAGAATTAAAAACATAAATCTAAATTCAAAAAAAGACTACGCGTCAATCCTCCTAAAATAAATTCAAAAGACACGAATAATTTCAAGTCGAGGTCACATTTAAACTTCCCAGGCAGTAAACGCGGTTAAATTTGAAGGGATCAAGTCATACTCATCCGCTTAAGATTCAAATTTATCGAACAGAATCCGCAGATGAATGGCAGATAATCCTTTGATTATGTTTTAGTCGAAATAGAATAATAAAAAGTGAATTTTAATTTTTCTCTTTATTATGCCAAGTATATCTTACCGTGCATAACTCGATCTGATAAGTTTTAGTTGTAAATCCGAATTACGTGACAAATTGAGCTTACACTGATCATTAAATAATGAATTTAGAACATAATTTGTTCGGTATTTTCTTTAAAATTTTTAGACACTGATCACATCAAAAATTGTTATAACCTACTATTAAGGTACAGAAAAACTTACAATTTACCATCTCTGCCTGTAATAAACATATTAAAATTATTCATAACTTCATAAAACAAATTTTGTTTCAGATTTAACATAAATTTAGTCACAGACTTAAGTTTGAAATCAAAGGACGAAAAAAGATTTTAAAAAGTTAGGAATCGTTTGCATTTCTCTCCGGGAAAAAAATCGTTTGTTAAAATTATTAATTTCTTTTCTCGCTATAAAACTTTTTAAATTTAAAAAAAAAAAAAAAAAATACTCAGATTTTTACGTATTTCAAATTGCTAGTTGTTTGTATTGTTTAACAGCATTAGGCTAAATTAAATTTCTAACTCCTATAAATTTCTTCCAGAAATTAAGGTGGGTTATACTTTATAACCTTCTCAGGTGAGAAGAAAAAGCATTTACTGCAATATGGATAGAGCCCCTTAAGGAACAATGAAAAATCATCATCTCCGTTTTCAAATCTATTCCCACGCATCGAAAAAGATACGAAAGCGATAGTTATAACTGAGAATGATAGCATCACAAATAAATAATGATCCCTGGAGCAGCAGCATATAATAATAAAATAGAATACTAAGAATATGAATAATGACAAGCTAAAATGATACCAAAAAGTAATGTTATTTACCAATAAATTTATAATATTTATTGCACATAAAAGAAGTCTACTCTTGTGAATGTAAAATATTTTAGATATTAAATATTATTTTCAAAGTAATAAAATTTATTTCATTTTAATATGTATATGCAGAAGACAATGTTTACAAAGTTGGCACGTTTAAATTTTAAAACTATTTTGCCTATTATCAATGTTTAAAAAAATAACTTAAAACTCTTTTTCACATCCGTAATTACTAAAAATACATGAGTATATATTTTGTTTAAATAGATTTAAACATTTAACAACGAAATGTTTAAATTAAGAAAAAATAATACATTAGATGAAAGAATACTCTATTATTAAGATATCTAAAGGTAATTTATTACTTTACACACTTCATATTTTTCCTATTTAGTTTGTTATAATTGAATTATTTTTTATAAATAAGTATGAAACAATTTAAATAAAAGTATGATTTAAAAGTAATAAAAAATTGCCAACAATCATATGTTGTTCAATCATACACATTATAAAAAAAATCAAACGATCTTTTATAATGTGTTTAAAGTTCAAAATCAAACGATTTTTTTCCCCTGATGATACAAGTGGCAAACGATTTTTTTTTTGTTGGGTCCGTGGGTGTGAAACAACCACTGTTTTATGAGTTCTATCACGTTGAAAACAAGGTGCGGCCTTTTTTTTTAAGTGACCAAATGCAAGAACACATCTACTTTTTATCAAAGAAGCTTTCTTACAGGGGATGGGAAACTGTAGAAAACTTATTATAGCACATGAAGGTCTATAACGACAAGTGATAAGCTTGTAAAAAAAGTTCATCTCATTTTATAAGCTTTACTCTCTCATCGCTGTTATCAATCCTATAAAGAAGAAATAAATCTTTCATCAGGAAAAACGCCCTTGGAAAAGCCACTAGGCGCCTGAAAATTAATTGGTATCTTTTTGAAATTCAACAACAGGGTTAATGTAAGAGGAATAACAGTTTGTTTCATAAAAACTATGTTAAGTGATCGATTTTTCACTTCTCTGTAATCTAGATGAAAATAAAAATCTTGTACTAAATGTAGAACATATGATACAGTGAAAGCTAGTGAGAAACAAAAAATATTAAATAGCGATAACATAAATACTATTTATTAACTAAAATGCTGCAAGATAAGTTATATCTAACAAGCAATTAGAATGTTGATATAATGAAAACAAATTATAGAAGAAAAAAAAGACATTCGGTTCATTTACTCTAGTAATCATGAAAACTTTTAGTATTTAATTGCTGAATTAAAAATACCAATACTAAATTAGTTTAAATGAAAGAGTTAATGTGTGAGGTTTAAATACTCATAAATGACGAAATCAAATGATGAATATTAAAAACAATAAAAATATTAACAAAACATAAAACCAAGAGAAATCACTGTAGTCTCTTATAGTTGAAAAAGGGAAGTAAACTTGACGAAGGTATACATCCAATTAAAGAAAAAAAAATGAAATTTATTTTAGATTTGGTAGACTCCCAAGCGTTATTTAATAAGAGCTTAAAAAAATCATAGCTGCTCTTAAGTTGGATTTTAAGTTAAACTTTAAAAGGTTAAAAAAAAGTTGTTCCTGGAATGACATTCGACACATTTGACTGTGGCCAATATTAATTATTTTCAAATGCATCAAGTACTCAAAGTTAGAAAATCAAATAATTAGAAAACAAAATTAAAAAGTGTAAAAAAGCAAAATAAAAAACGAAAGAAAAATCACAACTGTTCCTTGGGATCGTGGAACTCTTGTTTGGCTGAAGGTAAGCCCTGTGATGAACTAATCCAATTTATGACACAAAAACAGATCTCAATCAGTGATAAACGATGGTCTGAAGAGGTCAAAACCGCTTTATAAGTTAGATTTTATAAAGTTAACTTCTGGGAAAAAGGTGAACAGTGAGTTAGCATAGGCTTAAACAGCATTAATAGTCATCAATAAATGTACTTATCCGAAGTAACAGAATCAAACGGTATTAGAAATATAATCCTGATCAGAAACAATGATTGACAGAAAGTAATGCGGGGTATAAACAGAAAAAAGAAAGATCAGGACAGATTTTTGGAGTCGGACAGTTTGGGTTTAATAATTTTACCTTTAACTGACATTAAACATAAATAAGATATTATTTATCACTGCTTAGAAGTTGGATCTTTGAAAAATTTACTTTTAGGAAAAGGTTGAGAGTTAGCACAAACTTCAACAGTTTTTAACTGTGGTTAGTATTAATAAACCAAGCATACAACTAGTTGTTTACTAAGCAGATAAATAGTCCTCCAAACAAGTTCATGGACCTCATACTATCTTAATGTCTGCGGACAGCCTACTGGGTGGGTGGACGCTCCTCAAATCTTAAAAACAGAGTAGAATAAAATTATTGTTATAGTAAAAAAGGGCTAGGCCTAAGCGTTCCTTCTCTTCCCATTTATTATTTGGGGTTTAACTCATGCCTCTTCTTACACCCGCCGCCATTGCTGATTGTAGGCTGTCACCATTTTCTTTAAGTGTGGCAACAGCCTTGTAAGTTGGGAACCGGTTGTCGACGAAATTCTCGCCAAGAGATCTGGGAACGATGAAAAAGTAACGTTCAGGTTGGATGTTATATGGGATAGGTAGACCTTTGTTCTTCTCTGTCTTGAACGTGGCTTGAATACTTTATAAATCTGGGAAACAAAAATGATTTTTCACGCTTACAAAGGACGGGCGTTGTTATTCTTATGGATTTTGAGAATGATGGTATAGAAAGAAGAAAAAACTTTATAAATTATGTGTCAGATATTTCAGCAAGAGCAGTTATGAAAGATGGTATAGAAAAGAATTAATTCTGCAAACATTTCTAAACCTTCACCTTGTGAAAACGTTTCGTAGAAGCCATGCCTTCTTACTAATTTCAGTTAGAATACATTATAATCCTTAAATTAATAACAATTTTTGGGCAATTGCATGGAAATGGATAAAAATGCAGAAAAAGAATAATTATACAATCCAAAAAAAGACTCCCCTAACAGACTCAACGCCTTAAAAACCTACTTCAGTAGAAATGAATCAAGCTCAGTTCAGTAGTTTCGAAGTCTTCAATTTAATGAAGAGCAATCCTTCTGGAGATAATGTTCTGATTGAAAGTCTTCAAGCTCAGACATTTGCCTGAGCCTGAACACTTTCAGTCAGATTGCCCGATCAATCGAAATGTTTTAAGGCAAATCCCGGCCAAGATTTAACAATTCTAACAAATTCTAAAAGGATATCAGAGTAAAAATTTACAACGCGATATAAAGTACATACTTTCGGATCATGACATTCAATACTTCTAAATTATTTTTATAACACTCGATAATTTTACTTTTTTTAATACTACAATGAACCAATTTTTTGCATAGATTTATTTAGATTAAAGATATTAAAAAAACATACGAAACAGTTATCATGAGCTCGAGCCCAAAAAAACTTTCATCAGCAAATAAGCCCAAAGGCAAAGTCGAGCCTGATCGCCGGATGAGTCCGTCTCATCTCTGGTTTTCGGATCATCACTAGGAATCAATCCTGATTATCGGAATGACTATTAAGTATAGCTCTACTGTGATGTCAATAACCAAACCTAGCCTAGTTCAGTAAAATTTGAGTCACATCGTGCCGGTTAGTCTAGAGACACAACAAATGATCGCGATATAACAAATTAAAATTGCAATTGAAAGCAAAAGAGGAATAAAGTTTAAATATCGCAGTCATTTCAATAGCTCTAAGGTTCAGGGTATAGAGTAGTCGCCCCCTGATGAGGTCAACCTTGTTCGAATTGCAGCATTATTGGGTCGATTCGAACTATGCATTCAATCTGCTTAAACCACAAAGTAACGTAAAATATATCCTCACTGTTCGACGCATCATGGGTTAGAAGTGGGAGGTTACGAAAAAATATGAGCTAATTTCAGGTTAAGCCCTCCATAAAGATTTGTTTCTCTAAATGCTTGATCCAGGAGTTCGCTTGTCTTCAGAGTTGGGAGCAAAATTACTAAGTTTCTGAATTGAACATTAATACCCGTAAACCCAAAAATGGGTCGGCTGTTCAACGACAGATATTCAATGAATAGTTCTAAAAGGCCTGGTTTCTTAGGACAGGACGCCGTCAGCTGGAAATCAGCGCTAACCTCCGATTGGTCCATTTGTGAGTTTGATAGTATACGTCATCGAGTTCAAGATGAGCGTTCGATGACGTACACTATCAAACTCACAAATGGACCAATCAGAGGTTAGCGCTGATTTCCAGCTGACGGCGTCCTGTCCTAAGAAACCAGGCCTTAATGCAATGTTAACAATCACAGCATAGTTCAGTAAAATACTATCATCATATATACTGCGCCGCCAGTCTGGACAAAAATTAATGTGATCTATCCAAATGCGTAATATAATAAAGATCTTAACAAAATGAGATCAATGCAATAAGATTCCTTTGCTATTATCATAAAATCTTCGATAATAGCTTGTAACTAAACACATGCACCTTAATTTTATTTAATCAGTAAAACGAAACAAAGAATTTTCTCTGGGAAAAGACCTGGCCTAAAGCGACGAGCTATCACTCTAACAGAAAAACTAAGCAGGTTTTTACGATTTCTACATTTTCAGAGATCATAGTTCACATTAACAATTAAAGCAAGCATTGTACATCCATATCACGTATTTCTTTAATCTTATCCACGGCAAAATAATGAATGAGAGTTGGAGATTTCAAACTTGTTTTGAACATTCTCTTTTTCATTTGCAAACTCGCAGTTGAAAAAAATTTTTCAGACTTCTTTCCCGAACGATTTACAACGCGCAAAACTACACAGTCGCCTTTTCATCTTGAGATAGATAATAATAAATAAAAAAAAGTTCTAAAGCAGGAAAATGGTGATCATAAAAAGTTCCGAAAACCAGTCTTTTTTTCTCTTCCTTAGAACTTCCCTATCAGAGAAAAAAATCTGCTTGCAACTTCTAAGAGCTTTTGAAATAAAGCTTTTAATTATAATTATTAGAACTTTGCCGGAAAATGTAGAACTTTATCTTAAATTATCTACGCAGAGGCATCAAAAATAGGAAAAAGGTTAAAAACTGCAATTATTCGTCAAATCTAAGTGCTTTTAATCGGGGAAAAAAATAATACATAATTGCAACCAACCCCATTTCATCCTTCTGTTGCTATGTAAAAAGCTTTTAAAATGCTTTTAACTGTTTAAAAAAAAGGTTATATATAAAGTTAAAACAAGACAAAATAGTTGCGGTAACAAAAATTTTTTCTGCCACTTTTAAATGATACTTTTTTTATTTTTTGTAATAGTAGTAGTAATAGTACTAGCACTTTTCGTTGAAATATTAGAAGACAAAATGAAACATTTTTAAACAGTAAGTTTTAATACATTTTTGTATAAAAATTAATAATCTGTATTTATAAAAGTATCAAAAAGAATAATAATTATATGAATAATAATTACGGAATTTATAGGTTCCCTCACGTGAGAAATAAAACTTTGCCCCTAAATTAGGAAGAGGAAATATTACTTAAACCTATAAATTACTTGAACCTATCATTTCTAAATTGGAAAACTAGAGAATAAGCCACATTTTCAAAATATTCATTAACACTTACCAGGAGGGCATGAGCATCTGTAACTCAGATTTCCCATATACCGACAAGTCCCACCATTTTTACAAGGACTAGGATCACAGGGAATGTATTGATGATCACAGTTGTGTCCAGTGTACCCGGGCTGACAGTTACACCTGCATAGAAGTAGAACAAAATTAACAGATTATCAATATACAGAAACTAAAATTCCAAACCCGAAATACTGGATAATACATAACGACACACCTTAATGTTTATTTTTTTTGTAAAAGATACCATGCACAAAACGTCACCAAATGCTCCAAAATTTTTGTCAAATTGAGACGAATCATTATCGAGGTCGATCAGATAAGCAAGGATTTTTATGCATAGTAGGACTGGAATACGCTTTTCGATCATAATAAATAAACTTGTTAAATTATTCTAAAATGAACTTGTTTTGATGATTTTAATTTCTCCTTTTAATCTCGATAATAATTCGATTGCATTTGGTGTTTTTTTTTTTTTTTTTTTGAAGTTAAAAGTTTAACCCTTAAGGTCTCTGCTCATTATTATTTTTACTCCTAAAATATCACTACTATTTTGATCAATAAAAAAATATATCTATGATAATATGTATAACTATGATAATATGTATCCTAAATGTATCCTATATGTATCCTAAACTATGATAATATGTATAATTAACTATGTTTTAGTTGAATTTATAAACTGTTACAATTGACCCCGTAAGTGGGGACAATTGTTACAAGTGCACGACTGTCAAAAATTGTTAATAACTAATATAATAGCATTTAAAATAAGGTTTTTTTTCTAGTAGAGGATAGTCTACTTTACTCGTCTGTCAATTAATACTAATAATATATTGGAATTTTGTTAGTTAAAAATAGTTAAGTAAAAATTTTTATAATTGACCCCACTCTCCCCTACTAGTTTGCATATTATTATTTCATTCTTACAAAATTTCTAAAAAATACATTTGAGGAGGAGTCATTACAAAAGATTCTGCATTAAGAACGAAACATCAACACTTACCTATAAGAACCGACGGTATTTACACACATTCCATGAACACAGGGATTTTTCTCGCACTCATTGATATCAGATGTGCAATTAGTTCCTGTGTATCCACGAAAACAAGTACATCGATAAGTATCCTCCAAGGACTGGCAAGTAGCTGAGTTTTTACATGGCTGCGGGGAGCAGTGATCGGGTAATTGGCAATGATCACCTTAAAAATTAAAAAGAATCCAAATTAGTTTCATATTGTAATACAGGACATGCCTAAGTTGCTACACGGGGTTTGTTAATTTCATTAAATTTTACAACGCAAGTATTATTACGCATTTGAAAGATGACCAAGAGAAATTTTAAAAAACTAAGAAGTTAACACGCCGAATTATAGCTACGATTTACTCAAGATCCATGTCAGATTCTGGTACGGGATCATGGTATCGGTTATTGTTACTTTCTCAACACAAATTACCGAATCCAAAAAAAATCCAAATTAGTTTCATATCGTAATACAGGACATGCCTAAGTTGCTAGTTTACAACACAAGTATTATTGAGCATTTGAAAGTAGACCAAGAGAAGTTTTTAAAAACTAAAAAGTTAACACGTCGAATGGATTTACTCAAGAAGATTCAAGTCAGATTCTGGTACGGGATCATGGTATCGGTATTGTTAGTTTTTCAACACAAATTACCAAATACAAAAAAGAATCCAAATTAGTTTCATATTGTAATACAGGGCATTATTAAGTTGTTGACGGGTTTTCATAATTCATAGCATTTTACAACACAAGTATTATTTCGCATTCGAAAGTAGACCATGAGAAGTTTTTTAAAACTAAAAGTCAACACACCGAATTATAGCTACGATTTACTCCAGATTCAAGTCAGATTCTGGTACGGGATCATGGTATCGGTATTGTTACTTTTTCAACACAAATTACCGAATCCAAAAAATAACCCAAATTAGTTTCATATTGTAATACAGGGTTTCATATTGTAAACGGGTTTTCCTAATTCATAACAGTTTATAACACAAGTATTATAACGCATTAAAAAATAGACTAAGAGAAGTTTTTAAAAACTAGAAAGTTAACACGCCGAATTATAGCTACGATTTACTCAAGAAGATTCAAGTCAGATTCTGGTACGGGATCATGGTATCGGTATTGTTACTTTTTCAACCCAAATTACCGAATCCAAAAAAAATCCTAATTAGTTTCATATTGTAATACAGGACATGACTAAGTTGCTAGACGGGATCTCTTAATTTCATCACATTTTACAACACTAGTATTAATGCGCATTTGAAAGTAGACCAAGAGAAGTTTTTAAAAACTAAAAAGTTAACACGCCGAATCATAGCTACGATTTACTCAAGAAGATTCAAGGCTAGATTCTGGTACGGGATCATGGTATCGGTATTGTTACTTTTTCAACACAAATTACCTAACTTAGCACGCAAATACTGAATGGAACGAATTCAGAAATGAATTCAGTGGATTTCAATATCCGTGTAGAAAACAATGCAATATGGATTGGTCTGTATAATTAATACACAACGTGCAAATTTCTGTTGGAACCGCAATACTGCTCAGTTGATTTCAATATTCGTATAGAAAACATTGCATTAGGTCTTGCTTAAACATTGCTTGGCCTGTAAAATCAACATAAATCTACGTGTAAAACAGCAGCACTGCTCATCAACTTCATTTGTGTTAGAAAATTAACTTTTTGTTATATTTATTAACGATGTATTGTTTTAAACAATATAATTTGTTAACATTTTCTTTAATAAGAAATTATGAATGAGAAAAAACACTATATTTTAAAAACATTTCGCATATTATTACTTGTATTATTAAGGTAAAAAAGCATCGGAAATGTTGTAAATTCACGTATTTTCCATGTATTCAAATAAATCTTAATTTTCACGTCAAATCGCTTAAATGCGCCTGAAATGCTAAGCGCTAACTAGCAAAGGTCTTAAAGAATCCAGATTCATTTTATTGTGGTTCTACAGGCAAATAGACCAAAGTATAAATAAAAATAGCATCAAGTATAAATAAACAATTTACTTTTAAGATTTCATATTGTCTAAACAAAATATAGCAATCAAGGTTATTACAATTCAATGGGTATGAGACGAAATTATATTAATCTACAACTCTTCATTATATAGGACAATAATTTAAACACACGAGCATCTCTAAATTCGATAAATTTCTTTGAAATATCAACATAACTTAACATGCAGATTAATCGATTTAATTATCTAATAAACATAACATAGTTATTTAAGTACACATAGGCCCATTTACTATGACGCATTTCAATCATAGCAACAAAGGCGGAAAATTCTAAATGTGTCCTTTCATGTCAATGCAAAATAAAGTTCTGCAGCAAATTCGATAAATAGCATCACTTCATGTATCAAAATGTAACGTTCCAAAAGCAAAGTTTAACCCGATCCAACCATGAATTTTAAATTTACACTAAAATTTAAAACGAACTCTCAGTAACGGCTACGTTTTGTTAAAGCTAAATTCTTTGTTTTCACTTTGGAAGAAGTCATTTTCTTTCATAAAAGTGAAAGCCTGGAAGGTGTCAGAATATTCCAAGCAAAACTAATGAATATTCCAACAATAATTAGCAAAATTAAAAGTATTTTTTGAGATTTGAAAATGAAACAGTATATCAAACTACCTCTGTATCCGGCGGCGCAGGAACAATTGTAATTGGTAAGTGAGACTAGATTGCAAGTTCCGCCGTTCATACAGGGTTGGCTGTCACAGCTATTTGGAATGGCAATTTCACAGAGGGACGCCGTGTAGCCCAGTGGGCAATCACACGATATCGTTGGTCCGTTCGTAACGCTCATTTCCACCTTGCAAGTACCACCATTCTGACATCGTGGTCCGGGTCCGGTATGGCAGGGATTCATGTGCTGGCAAAATTCTCCGACGTACATTGGTGGACAACTGGAAAAGAATTACATATTCATTACACACTTGTTAAGCATACACTACATAATCAATTAATCATGATCATACAAAAAGTTTAAAACAATGTTTAGTATTAATATAGATCGTTGGAAAAGAAAACATAATATTTTTAAATGCAAATATAGATAAATTTCGCTCAATAAATTCTTCAAGAAGAAAATCGTTTTAATGCAGGAGTTTGTTTCACGTTCAACATGAGTTCAGTTATCTTCTAGATTGAGTTTAAAATTGCAAAGTACACAGAGCCAGACACTGGATGTCTATGTTAAATGATAGTGATGAAAGAAAAGGAGGGGAAAAAACGAAAAAGTGAATTTAAAACATTAATAAGTCGTTTTTTGATTCATTACATCTAAAACCAAATTTGTTTCGTTCAGATAAAAAGTTAATTAAAAGGCGTGAATTGTCTCATTATGATTTAATATAAAATAATTATTACATTTAATCAGAATTAAGTATAATTCTATAGTATAAATTATAGATTAATATTGCAATAATATACTATTTAAACATACTATTTAAAAACCTTGGTATTACATTTGGGGAGGAGGCTTGCTTTATATATCCCGCCTATTAAATTCTCATCAAATTTGATATTTATTTAACATAACATAAACGTGGCAAACATAAACATAACATAAACGTAAACATAAACGTGGCTTACATTAAATTTTCATGAAATATAGATTATCATTTCATTTATATTTACTCTAAAAAGAAAATATCCAACACAAATTTTCAAAAACTATCTCTCAAAATTATTTTTAACGAAAAAAAAAACATTATATTGATATATTTATTATTATTATTATAATTATTATTATTATAATTATTATTATTATAATTATTATTATAATAATTATTGTTATTATAATTATTATTATTATCATAATAATTATTATTATCATAAATTATTAATAATTATCATCATAATAATTATTATTACCATCATAATAATTATATATTACCATCATAATAATTATTATAATATAATTTTATATTGATTATAGAAGCACCAAAAGAAGTTGTCGCATAATGCGAGCAAGTTAACCGTAAACTCAAAAATAAAAGGCGGTTTCTCAGCATGAACTTAACGGGATGACGTGAACGAAAATAACTCAATAAAACATAAAAACTCACACAGGAAGACATCACTTAGTTTTTATTCAGAAGGTAAGCAAAAGATTCTCCAAACTCTTCACAGAAGAAAAAAAAATGCTTAAAAAGGTTCTTAAATCAAATCCAAATCGTTTAATGCAATAAAAATAAAGACTTAAAAGCATCTTTCTCAGCAAGAGGTTCTACAACTCGAAGGGGTTCCCCTTCAATCGCGCATATATTTCGAACTATATTCTTTCTTCTGAAAGTTAATTCTCAAAAGATCGTAAAACTTGGAGCAATGTCACGCGGATGCACCCGTCAATCCAGGGAAAGGTTGAGTAAGTCTGTGGATGAAAATATCAAGAAATTGGCTCAACCACCCTTGAAGAAAATTGCACCACACTCTTTTGCGGAATGCAGAAGATAGCCGTTTTCTTCGTCGTTTAAGTATATGGAGAAGAAATAGCTTGAAAGTCAATTTTCAGTCAAAAAATAATCTCCAATGTCACCTCGAACCTCGATTTCACCAAAAGTTCCTCAATGTATTATCACACTATGTATTTTCTAGTTTAATATTGGGCAAATCGTACANAATTTCAGTTTTCTTCGTCGTTTAAGTCTATGGAGAAGAAATAGCTTGAAAGTCAATTTTCAGTCACAAAATAATCTTCAACTGTCACCTCGAACCTCGATTTCACCAAGAGTTCCTCAATGTATTATCACACTATGTATTTTCTAGTTTAATATTGGGCAAATCGTACATATAATATAGCTATTATCAGACTGTGTAAATGTCTACTTTTGACAAAACCAATTTTCAACTGTCAGGATTGATTAATTGGTTAAATTAAATATAAAATTCAATCAATTCTCCATACTCTTTTGCGGAATGTAGAAGATAGCCGTTTTCTTCGTCGTTTAAGTCTATGGAGAAGAAATAGCTTGAAAGTCAATTTTCAGTCAAAAAATAATCTCCAATGTCACCTCGAACCTCGATTTCACCAAAAGTTCCTCAATGTATTATCACACTATGTATTTTCTAGTTTAATATTGGGCAAATCGTACATATAATACAGCTATTATCAGACTGTGTAAATGACTACTTTTGACAAAACCAATCTTCAACTGTCAGGATTGATTAATTGGTTAAATTAAATATAAAATTCATTTCTAAAAATGGTCTGCCATCTTTTTTATTAAACGATATCATATACCCTTAAGAAATGAAATGTTTGTTGCTAACTAAATTTAGCGAGCAAAAAATGCCAGAAAAGAGATATGATCACGGAGGTACTATGAGATCATGGTAACCCTAACCCTACCTGGTAGTTTAACCTTTATTAATGCTATCACGCGAAATTAGTGGTAATTTAAAAAAACAAGGTAAAATCCTAGAATAGCCCACTTCTTGGAGACTTTTTGAAATCTCTCTAAGTTAGCGATTATTACTGGGATCAACGTAAACATTATAGTCAGATTAAATTTTAACGATTTGTTTTTCTAAGCGAAACATTTTATTTCATAAAAAAAAAAATATCCGATAACGAAATTTTTGAAAACTAAAGATGACCCTGTCGTTCTAGTCACCCATGAAAATTGTTGACCGAATAAGATAAACACAATATCGAAGCGTAGAAACTACAATGCATGAGAAAAACATTTTTTTTCCAGCGTTGAACATGATAGAATAAGCAAATTTTCGTGCTTAACTAGCTGGAAGGCTGAATAAAAAAATACTGCTTCTTCGAAAGTCAGGTTTATACTAACTACAATAACATCGGTGACTAAGTCTCTATTTTCAATTAAATTTTATTTCAAAAAACAGCTCAAACAATTAACATCATTATTTATACGTTCTTTTTTTTTTCATAAGACGAGGTTAAATCAGCAAAACATGCAATAACTATTACTCTATTTGGGATAGCACATAAAAGGTCGCATGAATTTATAACAATGATTTCGTGAATTCGTAACACTTTGAGACACAGAAGAAGTGACAGACATCACAGATTTGGTTAAAATAAAAAAAAAACTTTATTATTTATTTTTACATTTTTTCACCATTTTTATCAAAATACGATTGCATGTATGGCGTTCCGTAAAGACCACCTTTAACGCGTACTTTCATAATCCTTATCAAAAATTTAAATAAAAAAGTACACACACTTAGGAGTCACAAATTAATATTAAATTGCCGAAAAAATGAAAACGCCATCGATATGTTGTTGTTACTTATGCCACTTGCCATTACCAGCAAGCCTGCTTGAAATCAAGCGAATTTTTAAAGCAGAGGGTGCGCTTTTTCTTTTTTTTTTCAGTGGCGCCGTACATCATACACAAATCGTAATTTTGACCTGAACCAGAGAACGATCGATCTTCAATTTAGTACACCCACAGGTATTGATTTGTTATGGGAGCATGGAAACCTTTGTAACCCCGACAGATTTAATATGTCCCAGACACCATTTAATACACGGGGTTCTTTGACAGGTGGTATTCGAGCTCCCGTTCACACGAACACGAGCCCAACGTCCTACCCACCAGGTTATCCTGCCCCGCCATCGATATGTGACCAATTGCAATAGAAAAAGGCAAACGTAATGAACAGCAAAATAGGTTTAATTTGAGATTGAAACTTTAAGTAAAATAACTATAGTACTTCAACTCCCACAAACAAAAAAACTAATACTTTCGCCACCCGTAACGTGATTCGCTAGATTTTCATAGTGATTTTTTTTTTCTATGAAATTTTAAATTGCGGCTCTAATGTGCATATTTTTGTTGCTTTCACTGTAGTTGAGGATTCTAAAATATACATAAAGGGCCGTCTTTAAAGAATAACCTGTATAATCACTATCATTATTTTGAAAACGTGTAACTTCATTTATCAACGGTCCTTTTTCTCAATTTTTTTCAATACATGTTGAGACAATTTAACCTCAATGTATTTATTGCAATTATTAATATCAATAAAAATACTTTTTTTTAATGGTCATCTAAACTTGTGAAACATTTGATAAGATTTAGGGGGTGTAAATTAAAGAAATACATTTCCCAAAACATGATTTTTGTAACGAAAAATCTAATTTATCATTTTTGACACAATTTAAAGACCTTGTGTATGGAATACTTAATGCAGTCTCTTAACTAGAAACTTACAGCAAAACAAGGAAGAGCAACAAAGAGAGAATAGTGATTGCAAAGATATGTATAATATCTTTAAAAATCCAGTACATTTATAGTACTTTGTTGTTTACTATCATTGCTGATATTTTAAAGAATTATAATAAAGCAAAAATCAAAAATTTATTTTTTAAAATCAAGCCCGTAAAAAGTAAATAGCATTCCAAAATACGGCTTGTTACATTACTGTTAAAATAAACTTCCAAACACAATAACCCTTAAAATGTATTTTAAAAAGCTTAAAAACAGTAAATCGTAAAATAAGCAGACGCATCCACGGACAATTTCCCCATATTATAGCAAGTTATATGCTTAATATTTGATTCATGATTTAATAAAGCTATTTTAAAACTATTATACATATTGATGACTTTAACCACCATAACATATTGATGACTTTAACCACATAAATTTGAAATAATCTAGTGTATAACACAAATAATAGTTAGCAGCTAAACAGGAACCCAACAAAGGAGTGAGCAGTTTTCGTAATTTAATATCAAACAATACACCGAATATTTAAAAAAAAAATGGTATTAATATTATTTCAAATAATAATATTTCCATATGAAATATTGCAAACATTTTTGTGAAAAAAAATAATGATAATCATGTAATTTGATGTATTGGAAAAAACTTTATTCTTTTACTTAATTCTTAACTTTTAAAATATCTGAAATAACTAAAATTCT